AAGAAGAATTCTCTTTTGATTGAGACCTGTGTGGCCGTGACACTACATGTGGACTGGTCTTCCATTGCCTATAATTCCCCTGGTACCTCTAAATCCACTTCTATGCATTCCTGCCACCAACACACAATTGAACGTCTCCTTTTCATGCAAGTGACTCTGTATGCCCTTTGTTTTCAGCCTTCTCCTTTGACAGCTAGAGATGTCATAGCAGAAGTGGAGAAGTGTGCTGTCCCAGTGTATTGTATGACTGCTGTCCCAGCCCTTCCAGTGTATTGTATGACTGTTTATGAAGCTTTTCTGCAGTCTTCGAAATGCTAAAGGTTTTTTGGATTCTGCTTGGTACCACCCCCATCTTCCTATAGGAAAGAATGGAAAGGTTTAATTTGTCCTAGACCGTTGAAAACCCTTCAACCTGAAGGGATACTGAAGTGTTTTGCCAACATATGTTTTGCAAGATGACAGATTTATCTGCCCTTAGCAGCTGGCCTGTGCCTTAGTGGTTCAGATTGATCTGATGCACTATGTAACCATCCTCTGGCAGGAGCCCGTTTTTGCTAAAGGCTCTCTTTGTAGAAGAACAGATTGCTTAACAAAACAGACAGAAAATTGTAATTTAGATAAATGAAAAAAAATTGGTAATCTGGTAGGCATCAGTATTAGGATGAGAGAATTTTCAAGGACACCATTGATCCACATGCAACTCTTTTTTAAAAAAAGTATAATGCATATTATACTTCATGTATATATAAAAGTATAATTCCTGTTGCATCTAGTCCAGAGGCACAATGTTAAAGATGCTTGCAACCTTTTGCTTAATCTCCTGTCAGGCAAGAAGTTCCTTAGCTGCATCACTAGCCTTAAAATTGTACAGAAATTTCTATTCATTAGCTTTGAAACAAACCAATAATGATTGTTTCAATTAAGTGTGAACAACACTGAAATTATACCAGGGGAGTTTTAGTTGTGTGATTCAAATGGGAGCTCTAAGGTTCATTAAAGGGAAATGGCTGAAACTCAGAAACTTGCTTGACAGATGCTTAAAACTCAGTGGTGTTCTTTCCTGTTAATTTGTAGAGAAAGTAGAAGGTGAAGGCTGGAGTTTTGAGGTCTTCAGTCTAAAGGTTAAATTTCTTAAGCAAGTGTAGATCCAACATGGAAAAGGTGGAAGGAGGGAGAAAAGGATTGAGTTTGTTTCCTGACCTTAGTTTCCCAATATTACTTTGACCACCCTATATTGATTTTGGCTGTCTCTGCAGAAGGACATAGGGCTCTTTTAGGTGTTTTGTTCTGTTTCCTGGCCTCAAGTGACTGCCACAGATATGCTAGAGTGACACTGCTGTGTGTACCACAGCCTGGTATTTAGAAAGAAACAAAACCAACCAACCAAAAAACAAACAAAAACAAAACAAAAAAAACCCCCAAACACCCAAACAACACAACAACAGACCAAACAAAAAACCAAAACAAAACCAAATCCCCAAACAAACATAAAATATTCTTAGTTAAGCTGGTTTCTAAGAAATACACTGTGAGTTGGACTCTATCAAAGTACTGGTAGGAAAGTACTGAGGAGGTTGGGGATGAATGGCACAGCCCAGTAGGTGTAATTGAAGGGTCAGAAATATTGCCTGCATAAGTAAAATGAGAGGTTATTTAGAATCTGCATGTCTGATGCAAAAGGATATGATAAGAAGTAATTCTGCTAGGTTGAGTGGAAAATTATTGGAGATAAGCCCTAGCTGGCAGAACAGGAAGAAGGGGATTTTTTGACACTTCATGGAAGATGACAGGACTTGTTCATGGACTTAATAAAGACAGGGGAAGAGAAAGAAAGAAAGAAATCAAGCATGAAGCCTAGTCTACAGGACTGATAAAATGGAAGATACTGGCATGCTGGAAGAAGGAGAAATTAAAGTATTCAGTGTTTAAAGAGGAAAAAATATAAGCATACTGTTGGCTGTCAGAGGCATTGCTAAGTTAAACTTGAACAGCTCTCTGCTGTAACTGAACTGTAAAAGTCAAGCATGACAGACCTCATGCATACTTTGTGGCAGGGGGTGAGTCTGCTTTCATCTGGCTTGTAACCTGACTTCATGTGAAATGAAAGCTCTGCTTCCTGAGAGTGAATGAAATTCTAAATATGAAAAAAGTCTTAGGCTTGGCTTATGTTACTTCTGCTGGCATTGTTTACTCCCATCTTTCAGATTCCTCAGTGAAGGTTAATAATTCATAATTCAAAATACTTGGTTTTGTTTGCTTGCTTGAGTGTATGACAATAGTGAGGAAAAGGACTTCAATTGAAATGTAATTGGGACACTTCATTAGTGAATTCAGGCCTTCTAGTACAGAGAACTGCAGGCAAACTCCTTTTCTCTAGTAGTTAATTAGTAAGCTAAGGCATGTGTGGAATTTATAGCAAAAAAATTAAACTCTAATCAACTCTAAAATCAAAAATCAACTCTAAACTGCAAGTATCACTGTGGAAAGATCAACTTGGGAGCCTCTGATTTCCTTAGATTTACAGCAATTTTTCAAAACGTTATTTGAAAAGCTCAGTCAATGCAGGGTTCAAGTCACAGGAAGAATTGTTTCTCTAAAGCACAAAGATCAAAAAAATCCTTGTTTTGCCTGTCTGTATGGAAAAGGCACAAATTAAAACAATAGTGTTGCATACAAAGTAAATGGATGTTTCTTTTTTCAGAGAGAGGAGCTGAATAGTGCAAAGTATGTTATGTGATACCCAGATTAATTTGTCAAGACATCCTTGTAACAGAGTTTTGAGTCAGTTTGAATGGTGAAGTGCAAATGTCATAAACAATTGCACAGATACCCTTGGCACAGTGAGGGCAGGTGGCTGGATCTAGTTACCCTGAAGGTTTTAGGATGCTTCTACTTGGTACAGGTGTGTTCTTGCTTTTTAATAACAAAAGACTGCAGATGGAAACAATTAGCTAAAACCACAGGTAACAAAAATAAAATTTAATTAATATTTACTTGTATGATCACCACTTTTTCTTTCATATATGTACAAATAACCTATAAACATTTTAAATTTTAAAGTTAAAATTTTGAACCATTTATTTCATATATTAAGTGATAAATACAAAGATGGCATGTTTTTCAGATCTGTAATATTTTACCAATCTTTAAGTACTTTTCTGCTGAAAATTCAGTGCGTCTCTTTGCCTAATTTAATAAATGAACTTGAACTGCAAAATTAATTACTGTAAAATGAATATGGAAAAGTCAAAACAAAATGAACTGTAAAATAAAATAATTACTTCATAGGGATAATCCAGATTGATCTTTTTTCCCCTCTATTCTTCCTATTTTCATGAAACAGCAGGGTTTCTGCTTCTCTGTACTTCTCAGCTTCAAATTTTTAATATCTTTTTAAATTTTTTTTTAAAAAGAGTTAGGTTTCCAGCTGCATTGAAACCTAATAAGATTTGGGAGTCTAATTCTCTTAAGCTCCTTTGAAAGTCCAAACCTTTTCTCTTGAGAGGTGTTTTATTTCAGGAGTAGACAAAGTTGATTAACCAGGATAGCAGCAACTTCTTTGAACCATATATACATGGTTCCTCTAAGCAGGAAAGCCACTTGTCAAGCTAAGATTATCAAATGCAAATACAGTATTAAAACCAGTGTTTGGTCTTCCTGTTGTGAGAGGCATTAGGCAGACAAAAATCATTACAGGGTACACTAGCCAGCATAGTCAGTGAAACACCGTTAGTTATTCGGTTCCTATGAATGGGAGAGGGAGCATAATAGATGTACAGGAAGCACTTGAAACAGCAGGAAAATTGTCTAATTATCCCCCTCCCTTGTTTTTATTTTTATGACAGTTTTCTGGGAGTTAAAGTTAGGAGGAGTAGTCCATGTTTTCTTGGGTGCTTTTTTCTTCCTTTTAAGCCATGCCATGGGCATTCACATTACTAAAATAATCAGTTAATCATCAGAGGTAATTTCAACTAGCTAAGTACTTAGCTACACCTTGTAACTTTCTTGACTTGAACCATAATGTTTTAAAGTGCTTAAACCTTCCTTTCTCCCTTTCTCTGAAGCCATTTGAGGCTGAAATATCTGAGGCCTTAACACAGTACATGCTCAGTGTCTTTCACTGCCTTGATTTAGTATTTCAGATGTTAGCAAAGTCTTTAAATAAAAAAGCTAAGGATGGGAAGCAGTCAAAAAGTAATCATTTCAAGGAAATGTTCTACAAGTTGAAGTGCTTCAAAGGAATGCACTAGAAGCAACCAATGAAGCAAATTTTCTGTGCTAGTCTGAGAAACTAATAGCATGCCAACCTGGTGCTGGACTTAGAGATTTGGACAAGAATTGCTTGGTTGACAATATGGTGAGGAGAACTTTGGGTAAGAGAAGACCCAAATAAGGTTAAATATGTGTAAGCTGAGATATCAGGTTCCTGGACCTCCTCCAGTTTGCTTCTAGAAACTGGGAGGATGTAGGAACAGTTGGGAAGTTAAAACTTGGAAAGATTTCTATCTGTTTCTGCTCAGACAACCATGCACATTATGAGACCTGGTGAAAAGAAAATGTGAAGCACCTTTGCAAGGTCTATATGCTCTCTATTGCTTTCATCACTATACAGTTGAAAGAGGGAGAACAGTATTCTTTATTCTTTATGCCCTTTAAAATTCGAGCCTGCTTTGCTCTGCTCCTAATCCTATCTCGCAGCAGAAAATGAGTAAATAATTCTGGTAGGTACATGAACATTTGGCCAACATTAGACCCTCTGCACTGTTGTAACACTTCAGTGCCCTCTGAGTAAAGAATTTCTTCATAACATTTAATCAAAAACTTCCCTCTTTCAGTTTAAAGCCATTGCCCCTTGTCTTGTCATTGTCTGTCCATAGAAAAAGTTACTGTCCCTCCTTTTTTTAAGTCCCTTAATGGTACTGGCAGGCCATAGCAAGGTCTCCCTGGAGCCTTGTCTTCTTCATGTTGAACAACTCTCTCAATCTGTCTTTGTAGGAGGGAGATTTCACTCACTGTCATCTTTGTGGCCTCCTCTGGGTCTGCTCTACAGATCCATGTCATTCTTGTGCTGAGGACTCCAGATCTGGATGCAGCATTGCAGGTGAGGTCTCACAAGAGCAGAGGTGCAGAATCAACTCCCTTGGCCTGCCCCCACTGCTCTTGATGCAGCCCTGGACAAGGTCATCCTTCTGGATTGCGAGTGTACATCGCAAATTTATGTCCAGCTTTTCATCCACAAGAATTACCGAGTCCTTCTCTGCAAGGCTGCTCTCAATGACTTCTTGTCTCAACATCTGCTCACATCTCTCCTTGCGTGACCCAGGTGCAGCACCTTGAACTTGGATTTCTTGAACTTCATGAGGTACTTGTAGGGCCCTGTATCAAATTTATCCAGGATCCTGGATGGAATAATGTCCCTCTGTTTTGTCAACTGCAGCACTGAGCTTCATGTAATCTGCATATGTGCTGAGGTCTCACTGTCTATGTCAGTGATGAAGACACCGAAGAGCAGTGGACCCAAGACAGAGCCCTGAGGGATGCTACACATCACTGGCCTCCCCTCAGACAGAACCATTGACCTCAACTTTGTCTCTGTCCAGAGAATGTTTAGGATGAAATGATCTTGTTTGATTGAGTTATTGAAGTGTACTAGCTACACACAAACAGCCATTTTGAGCTCTTAAATGTGTTTCAAGCTGTGTTTGGGGATTTATTTTTTAATGTAACAGCTTTTATATGGGGGTTAAGGTATAAAGTAAATTTTGCATGTTTACGTAACAGTGACAGAAAAAAAGTAAGAACTTTCATAATTTCTAAAGTGTTATGACACCTGTAGTATGCTTAGTACTTTCTGTAGAAACTGGGACCCTGAAAAGAACAATTTTTAGTCCGTGGATCCAGATACAGTTCATACCAAATGGCTTGTTGTACCTGGGGATTAAATTTAAGACTTGCTCTGCTACTCACTTGGTTTGAGTCCTGCAGCAAAATCATAATTCCAAGTGTGTCTTTGTTCAAGTAGTATGCACTGGATAGAATGAGAAGTTGACTGAGCTTTATTTAGTCTGGCACGTTAGCCTATTGGGACAAAACATTTTGTGCACAGACCCCTTATCTCCCACCCTCCACAAAATCCCAAACCTGTCAGAACGACCAACTTCACACTCAGAAAACGCTGTAGTGATTTGCACTCATTCGATCTACTGCCCACAAGATGGCAGTGCAATACTACAATAAGATGTTAATGTGATTTTTTTTTTTTTTTCTACGTGTAGCAGAGCGATAGAAATGTAGAAGATAAACATGTGTAATTTTGAAAGATAATATGCAAAATAAAAGCTTAAAGGTGTCAAATAAATAATGATCAATAAATGCTGATTTCATATGTGTACTGCACAACCAATGGCACTGAATATGATTGTCATTGAATTAACCACAAAATTATAAGTGGTGATGCATCACTGGTAAAGGTCAACAGATGGTTGTAATACTATGATATTATATGTAAATAAAAGAATTGGGATATGTTCGTGTCCCAGTATAATAAATATGCAAATAGCTACTGACTTCCACAGTGAGAAATTTGAGTCTTGCTTATTTTAATTTTGGCATAGATTTTATGCAGTATTGCACAAATGTCATCAAGCTCTCAATGCCAATCTATAACCAAAGTAAAGACTTCAGTGTTACATACACACTGTTTTAAGCCTCTGTTAACTTCCTTCAAGTATTTGCAGGCATGAGACCTACAGCAAAGCATAAAAGCTTAAACATACATACTTCTTCAAAATAAGCTATAAAATTTTGTTGCCAGAGTTTAAAGTTAAATAGTATTGTGGAATAGTATATTTTATACATGTAAAATCATGTAGGTAGTCAAAATAATTAATACTGGAACATGCCTGTTGTAAAATTTGTAGGCAAAAAATGCTTTGTCTGCAGAGGCAATTCTGAAGCTCTTACAGCTTCTGTGAGCCAAGATTATATTGGCATAAAGAACAATTTTTCATTACTGTTTATTGTTTCATCAGTTATGCTTAGTGACTGATACACATATTCAAATCCATGTTGAATTGTTGTAACACCGAAGTTTATTATGCAGTAAGAATAAAATTCTAATGTATAGCAACAAAGCATGACTTGATAGCAGTAGGTGTGTTTTCTGTGGCAGTGTTCTAGAAGAGAAAATGAAAATTGGTTCTGGTTATTTCTGTGCATAAAATCTGGCACTTTTGCCTGATAAGTGATGCTATTACAAGTTTTCATTTAACTGTAGCTTAGTTTCTGTGGCATTACCTTGGATGTCCTTATGCATGTAAACATTCTTTCTTTATGCTTGCTGCTTTTCCATTTCAAGCTATCAGGGTGGGAGACACTCAAAATCATACCCTCGAGACTGGAGGAACTAGTCTGTTACAAAATTGAAATTCTCTCTGAAAAACGATTATACTGACCTTTCCAGACTGGTTTAAGTATTATGATTAGGGTTGGTATGAATGAAAAGAGCTAAAAGGGCTAAAGACAAGGGGAAAAAAAAAACCCTTTTCAGATAGTGATGTGACTCCTAGAACTTGGAAGTTTTGAAAAGCAGAATTGCAATGAATGGATAATAGTGATGCCTCTAAGTATTTTCAAGTATCTCAGTCTTGATTATAAAGGCCTTAAATGGACTTTTCTTCAACAGGACTTGAAAACATACAATTAATTTTTTTTTCCTGTTGGAGTAGATGAATTGATATTAGCTGACTGTGGGAACACTGGTCCAGTTGTTGGGTAAAGTAAATCAATATTGGTTTTTATAATATGAAATTCTCTGATGTCTAATTAATTATTTGTGCAAGAAAGTGTTAAATATCAGCCATCTGAAGATAGTGTTTTCTGTACTACAGGTCAGCTGTTTTGGGTGTATTGAAAGTAGAGTAGTTACAGGACAAGTGCCTGCCATTTTTTCTGCAGCTTGTCTTGTCCTGGGGAATCATTACAATTAGATATCATTGCACCAACATCTGAAACAGGTAATTAATGTTTCAGTTGTCTACAGTGGTGGTTTTCTGATGATTAAGTAACTGTGAGGTCTGAATGTTGTTGAGAAGTCCCACCCATACAGTGGGAAAAGAAACGCAGGAGTAAATTGGCATTTAGATCTGCTTTTCAGTCACTGAACTACACCATTAACAGCTGCTTTTGTTTTCCCTCTGGATCATTTTCAATCCATCAATTTTTGTCAGGAAACACAGTTTATGGGTCATCTTTTAGTCTTTAGTCAATGAATCGTTTCCCAGTTCAGTGTGTTATCCTAATTTCCTGGACTTTTTACTGTTTTTATTATACTGAAGTATGCAGATGTGTGGCTGGTGCCCCCAAACAGCAACACTCCCAAAAGTAAATGAAAGTCTTAGTAGACTTTTCAGTTTTTGAAAATTCATTGCAGTATTTATTTCACTTCCTCTTAGAGCAAATTCTGCAATTCTGAGTGGCTTTGCAACAGAGTTAAGGTTTACTTATTTTTCTATTACTAACACTTATTTATTAATATTTAGTTAGAGGGTTGATTTTCAAAATTAATATATATTTTGAATGTGTAGTAAATATCACTAAACTTTGTTTTGTCCACTGGCTCCAGATAACATACTGAACTCAGTAAGATAGGAAGGGCAAGGGTGAAAAAAAAATGTTTCTTACATAATCAGAGGCACAGAAATAAAAATTAACTCTTGATTATGGATTCTATGATATTTGATGTCTCTTCCAGTTTGTAAAGCTATGTGATTAATTTCTGAATTTGAAAGTTTGATTATAACTTCATTTTAAAACCAAATCTTACCCTCAGTATTTTGGTATTAAGGCTTGAAATTATGAACTGTAGATGTTTTAAGAACCAAATAATAAAGGTGGTGCTCCTGATCTTTAGATGAATTTTGGATCTGAGCCATGAAGTTATGAATTCTTGAGATTTGTGATAGTACAGTGGGGGTTTTTAAGTTGGTTACATGTATGTTCAAAACAGGCAGTTTTGAAATGCTGCCTAGAATGTGGTGACGTACACATGTGCGTAACATAACGCCATGACAAGGAGTAGAAAACAAAGTGTCAGGGTGCTCATAGGTTTTTAGAATAATTTATTTTTCCAAGACATTTCCTTAATATTGATGCTGACCAGTGGCAGCACAATCTTGTGTGTGCACCTTAATTTTCAGAACTGCATAATAGTGTGAAAAGCAAGAGTGCTTGCTTTGGTCATGCTGCACATTCAAAACATCATGCCCGGTGCCCATTTTAGATGCTTCTGTCATCATATTCTTGGTAGCCTCTGTTGTCTCTGGGTTTCTATACTAGTTCATCCTGGGATCAGTTCATCATCAAAAAGAGGAGCTATGTAGAGGAATGGGCAATATTCTGAGAGTAAAAGACTCCTGGAAGAATATGAGAGCTTTGAGAGTCTTCACAGTTCTGCTTTTCATTCATCTCCAACTCTCTGGTTATTGCAGAGCCAAAGCATTGGCACTTTTAAGAAAGTACTGTATTTGCAGATAAGTGCTTAATTCTCCTCTCCTAAATGGGATTAAGATATTGAAGGGTGCTGTTGCATTAAGCAGGGGGAACATGGCTGCCACTTATTTATTATACCTCTTAGTAAAAATTTTACAAGGCAAAACTGTAATGCTGACTGGGTAATGAGATAGTCCTTGCTTAAAACAGTCTTTATTGTGTTTTTTTCTAAGCAGTGAAGAAAATAAGTATCAATGTGCTACATGCTTTGACTGGCATATTCTTCCTTATTGTGGAATAAGATGATGGCCATCCCAGATGACAAAAAGAAAGCAAATCAATATTTTCTGTTAATTTTTAGCAAATTTTTCTCCTTCCTGCAAAATTTCATTTTTTAATATGGTAATAAATAAAGCTTATTGATTAGGCATTTCTAAAAGGGAGGAAGAAAACATGTAGGCTTTCTGCAGATATAAATCCATGAATGTTAATAGAGACTAGAGTAAATGGAAAGAAATGTCTTATTTAGGGTATGAAACTCTTCTAAGTTAATGTCCATAAAGTTTAAATTAGTTCAGACTTTTCTTATTAGAATAAATGTTTCCTTTTAAAAAGCATGATAATCATAATCAAGACTAAATTTGTTCTGTTATTTATTTTCAAAATGATTGTACATGTTTAGCAGACTTTTGATTTAAATCCCTAGGGATATATTCGAGACAGATGTTTAGATGACCTAATGTTTAAAGTAGAGTTATATTTGGACACTCGATTAAATTTTCCTTAAAATCTTTCCATATATGTTAGACTGTGGAGCAGCGCAGAAAGTATTGAAAGATTTATGTTGAAAAGGTACTGCTTTATTTTTAAAGTAAGTTATTTGAGTTCAGTAGATTTTATTTCAGGCAACTGTCAAAAGCAGAAAATGTTTGATTATAGAACAGCATGTTTACAAATGAAAATATTGTGTCTTGTTGCAGAGCTAAAAGGGAAACAGATTTCTTTAAAAGCTCATTGATTTCAAAACCAAATTTACCAGGCCATTTATAGCTGCCCCGAAACTTGGTAAGGATTGTGGTAGACCTTGAAATGTAGCATCAGTTGAATACTGCATAATAGGGCATAACAGTTGTAAATGTTTTTACTGCTTTCCAGTTTTGAACAAGTGAAAGCTTCTCAAGATGCACCTAATGCACCTAAAGTGTGGATGGCTATAAGGATGACTAAATGTGATAGTAAACAACGTTTTGAAAAGTCTCAAAATTTCATCATCATAATTATCAATATTGACCTGTTGGAAAGGTATTGATTTACAGATGAAAACAATGATTATCTTTGGTCTTTTGAAGTTTATATATACTGCCTTTTATTGTCTTCAGTTAAATAATCAAGTTACTGAGTTGCTGAGCTTCTGCAATTTTTAATTGTAACTGAAATATTGTACTAAGAGATGCATTCTTGTCGCTGGCAGG